GCATGAATGTGTTTGAGGCTTGGTGCAGGTACAACATTAAATCTCTTTTTATGGGAGAAAATAATCTAAAAATGGCATTAATGAACTAGTATAAATTCTCAGCAGTTTCCATTTTAAAAAGTGCTTTTTGCTGCTACGGTTCTCTCTAAAGACTTGTGGCAATCATTAGGGAAGTGTTGGCTTGTTTTCACACTGCAGTTCTCATACCTAATTTCTATGCAGCTGAAGTTCAGGGCAGTTGTACAAATGATTTGCTGCAAAATGAAAAAAAAATGGTCGGGGGTTAATTTTATAGAAGCTAATATTCATTTATGAAACAGGAACAAAACTGAAAGTTCCGGACACGTGGCTCTCTGAGGATTTCTTTTGCACTGTTTGAAATTAAATGTGATCCTCCTACCATTAAAGTCCTGACAAAATGCCTATTTCAATGTGTAGTGCACACTGTGTAAATATTGTAAACAGGACTGTCAAGTTGGTTATGTATTAGTTTTTGTCTAATTCGTGTCCTAAATTATCAGAAAACCTCTAAGCAGCGAGAGGAAGCTATAGTTAATTAAGCCACAGATGGTGAGGACTAATGTGGTGTTGACCTTTGTGAGGACTGCAAAATCTACTTAGTCTTTCTCTAGAAAACACTAGCTGAAATGAGTTCCTGCTGATACTAGAAAGATGTCCTTGATGCATGAAGCCAAATGCAGAGACACCATGACCAAGAAGGAGCTTTCCCAACTAAAGGTTTGCAGATTCTTAATGTATGATGTGTGTTGAGATGTAGTCTTCAGGGCTCTGATTCAAACCTTTTTAATGTCAGAAGTCACTGTTTTTCTAGGACTGGATTACCTGGAATGCATATTGTCAGTTCTTCTCTTTTTCACTGACAGTGGAGAGTTGACAGCTGACCAGAATGTGAGTACCCTCCCATAAGCAGCATACAGGCTGTGTGACTGGGGGTAGGAGCAGCTAATGGAATCCACTTTTTTGTTCCTCTTTGCTCCAAGGTTTCAGCTCTTGGTGAACTCATTTTTTCCCCTCAGGTTTCTGAACGATGACTTGGAAGAGTATTTTAAAATGGTGGGGAAATGTGTTTCTTCAGTAGTTCAGGTCTTGTGGAGGAGGTAGCTGTGGAAATATGTTGGTCTTCCTACCACAGTGATACCTGTCTGCCTAAAATGCGAAAGGAACTTCTGGTCACTTGAGACTTTCAGAGCACTTTGTATGGTCTTTGGGCAATAGGTAGGTTCAGCATGTCTGGAGATAGCTCCCAGTGTTGTGGACAGTATTTTTTTGGGGGGTGTAGAGTGAGTAGGAGAATTCTCATTGGGATTTTGACTTGTTTTTCTTTGAGTACTATCTGGAAATTCCTGTTTGATCTCGAAGGAATTTTGACATGTAACAGGTGATCTAAGCAATTGTTGGCCTGTGACTCTGAATGATAAATTATTTTTGTCTGAATAAACCCTTTGAAAATGCTTCTCTGAATAAAAATTTGTCCTTCCTGATTAGACCAGTGTGATATCTTAATCTGATGGTGTGGTCTGTGGTTTCAACCTGCTTTTATGGTTTTGCACAAGGATAAAGAACACATATACTCAGAAAAGCACAGCATCTCTTTGATAGTAGGGGAAATGTCATTCTCTATTCTTCTCAGGACTTCCTTGGAGTTGAACATATCCCCAGCAGGTGAGAATTATCATCTAGAGAGACATGCAGCTGACTCAGTTCTTTGGATAATTAAGCATAAAGTCCAGTCCACCAGAAATAATTTCCTCTTTTGATCTAGAAAGAAGGAAGAATATCAGCAAAGATGTAAAAAACTTGTCAGAGATTGTCAAGCTTCTGATAGTCACATTGCCTCATGTGACTGTTCACTGGAAGGGCAGGAGGGGTTATCTCAACCGTATTTTTCTAGCTCATAGGCCCTTTGTCTTCTTCCCAGAGTTGCATATAGTCATTTGTGGAGCAAGGGGCACTGCCACTTGAAGTACATAAAGAGCTTCCTACAGTAGATTTGAAGAAGAATATAACAGTGCCCTTTGATTTGCATCCTGATTTGCGTAAGGATTTCAAACCAGTATTAACATCCTTCTGGAGGAGGTATTCCAGGACTTGTAGAAAAACTAGTCTAGGAGACGTACTAGACTTACTTTTGTTTGTAAAACTTATTTCAAATGAGTAAAAGTCTGGAGGAAAATCCTGTTGGGCATTTAAATCTGCTGGAGATTAGTCTGTCAATCATGCTGCATCAACCAAGAAGAAGAGGAAAACTGAGGGTTACAATTGCCTAGGTACAAATCTATAGACAGCAGTTTTTCCTTGAACAGTATAAACACAGGGTAAGGAAAAGAAGTGGGAACAGACTCATCTGTTTGTCTTCAGTGCTAAACTAGGGAAGAGACTGCAAGTCATCAGTCTTGCCTGTTGTCCTCTCCCTGCTTTTGCCAGAGTTTGTGATGTGTGCTGAAACAGTGTGATTGAGGCCACTGCTTTAAATTATTAGGCAATTAATTTCCTGGGTTTTAGATACTCAGATTTAAGACTAAAGAGGGAAAAAGGTAAGTCATGGCGCACACATTTTAAAATAGATTGATGTACACAAAAGTACAGAATTTTTGAGATTACAGAAACTTGCTCTATTAGTGTCTTCCCCCTACCCTGTGACTGATATGTTAAATGTGTATTACCTGTATGTTTAGAAACTCTGGGTTCTCTTTGATATCGTCCACATAATCCCAGTTACACCTGCACACAGTTTGTGTAATGGGTCCTTGACCTATGCTGGGCCATTATAGCTCATCTTTGAGCTTGTCTTTCTCCAAGGGTGAGGAGATAAATACAAAATGGGCTTTGCAGTCTCCTTTTCTAAGTGTTCACATGGAGCACTCTCAGTCAAAGATGCTGATGTCATGCATCTGAATAGGAGATAGAGGTTCAAATGTACTATATGTAGGATGGACATATCTTCATTGTCAAGTTCAAAGAAGGCCAAGATGCTTAGGAAGGATGTGAAATCTAAAAAGAAACACCAGTGTGTGTTGCCTTCAGGAAACAAATCAAAAGTGGTTTAAGATGACTAAGACTCAAAAACTTTGTGTAAAGAGCTCATGAAAATAGTATAATGTTAAGAGTAACAGGTTTGATTTCATTGTACTTAATGTGTATCATCTCAAAATGAAGATACAAATTTTTTAGATGGGATTGAAAAGATTACTCTAAATGTCCAAGATCAAAATGTACAAATGCACATAAACTACATTTGTAAGTCAGCCAAATTCAGTATTCCAGTCCTCCGTCTGTTGCTTAGATCCAGTGCATGTGGATCTGCGAGGGGAAATTTTTGGTGCAGGAATGTCTTGCATTGGCTGTGAAAGAGAATGCATGGGAAGGAGGACAGATTGATCATCACACAGCTCCAGTTCCAGGATCTGTTGTGTTGGAAATAATTCCCTCTTTCCAGTGGTGATGGTGTTTCTGTATGTAGGATCATTGCAGAAATGGTTTTACACATGTAGACAGAATAGCTAATACTCTTTTTTAAACTGCTTTGGGAGAGGCCATCCTTGAATAAATTTTAGTTATGACCCTCTTGTGCCTCTGGTAATGTTAGCAGCATACTTATCTGGTTGGTATTTTGAACCTTGTGGTAGAGGTCCTGTTGATCTTCGTTTGCATTCACTTTGTTCCAGTTTACATGTATTAAAATGGTCACCTTTACCATTTCTTCAATCCAAGGCCGTATCTTTAGTAAAAGCGTAAGGGTAGAGAGAGTAATTTTCTCTAATAACCAAAGCATTGATATATTCTCCATGGTGGAGCACAGCAGATCTCCAGGTGTCAGGAAGTGAATTTTGAATTGAAAATAGATGTCCTGTGATCAGTGGGTTAACAGGAATTATCTCGTCCAAATGAATAGAGAGAAATTGCTTGTGTCCCTGGAGAGCCTGGCAGCAATGCGGGATTCACTGGGTGTTACTGGTATCTTTGTGTTCTGTGGCTGGAGCTCTTCATAATAAACTGTGAAACATCAAGGAACTTGTTGGAGATCAAGGAAAGAAATTGCTTGATCTCAGCTGCAGTACTGATAAAACATTGAAAATTTTGTATGTGGAGAATTGCACTCATTATTTTAGCTGTCTGAAGTTCTCTTGGTATAAATGAATGTTGTTGATGTTCATGGATTTCCAAGGCCATCTTCTGTGTGAGGAGCCACCAGGCTTTTTTTCTTTGCCACAGCCTCAAAGACAGAAATAGTTTATTCTGAAGTAGAGAAATAGGTGTTCTAGGAGTCCAGAGACAAATGGTGGTTCTTAAGCCATGCTTGCAAGGATATGAACCAGATTCTGTGCCTATTTTTTTTGCTGTTAGAAGGACAGAACCACTGAATATATCTTAATTTCCCAGATTATATCCCACCAAATACTGGAAAACAATCTTTTCCAGAAGAACTGATTGTAGTAAAAGTTAAAACATGTCCTGTTTGAAACTACTAATTAACAAAGGCCAACATATTTGAAAAACAGCAATGGTGTTTATCTCAGAATGCTTGTTTCTCTTAAAATACTGCTTATGTGTTACATTTGTAGGTTTGATATCTGTGTTTACGCTCAACATGTCCATATTACATTTTACAGATATGGAAAACAGATATTTTTTTTAAAAATTAGTAATTATTCAAGCAATTCTTTGTGCATACCTATGAACATCTTAAATCTTTAGAGGGCGTTTTTAGCTTGTAGTTAGACAGTACGAAAATGTGATCCTATTAATAGCTTACAAGTCTAGCCACATGTGGGATCTGTCATATTGTGTTCCCAAGAAATAACTTCGAGCACTATGCTGCACTTTAAAGTTTTTTCTAAAAGTAGCATAGGGATTTGTAGGCAATTAATAAAATTAGCCTTTAACCACTTAATATTGTATTTTAAAATACATCTAGGAAAATAAACAAAAATGTTACAAGTAAACATAACATATGGTTCTTTTTTTAATCTCTACTTTAGGACGACGTAGACAGTCTAAACCCAGTTCTCAGGGATAACCCGCAGTTACATGAGGAGGTAAAAGCCTGGGTAAAGGAACAAAAGGTTCAGGAGATTTTTATGCAAGGTAATTATGTGGGAAATTGTGTTATTTATATTCTGTGTTAGCTAGTTTGAAGGCCATTACTTGTGTGGGACTCATCCCATAGCATTTGTGATATAATGGACAATATTTTTATTTAACTTGGAAGGGTTTTTTTTGGAACTATTTGTTAATACAAGAAAATAAGACTTTAAGCAGCTGTTGGTGATTGCTTTAGACTGTTCTTAACTTATTTATTGTTTTAGTGATTACAGCAAAAGCTAAATATCATTAGTTGGAATGCAGATATTTTATAACATTTGTTGTGAAAATAAGTGTGTCTGAATGGTATTCACACACATTTTGGCATGTTTACAACTGTTCTGTGCTCTGTTAGTGTTACTGTTTATGTGTGATAACTTCTCAGATACCTGTCTGTGCTTGTAGTTCTTCACAGTTCTGTCACAGATGAAAAATACTTTCAGATCCCCACCCTATGCTCTCTCCTCCTGACTGAAAAGTCCTTTTCAAATCAGTTATAATTTGTAACTCTGTTCTAATTCTGGAAGGTTGCAGAAAAAGCTGTGTGCAATAATATTTATGCTGTAGATACAAGTTACAAGAAAATGAGTATGAATTTGAAGAAATTATTTTGGTGCCATTTTGCTGATAGCAGAAATACTGTGTGCATTTGCAGTGTATTCATTAAGTTTCAGGAAGCTTTGCACAGGAGTTCCTGTTACTAGGAGGCAGAAACCAGCCTCTGCAGACCTGGGCTACAGTTCCCAGGAAAGCAGTTTCAGAACAAAAATGCTTAAGAAATCATTTTGTAAATGAAGATTAGGAGGGAAGATGTAAATAATCAGATATTTTAAGGATGGCTCTGAGGTTTCCTTGCTGTCTAGTCTCTTTGATAAAACCAAGATCAGAAGATGAAAGGAATATGGTAAGTATAATAGTGAACTTAGAGTAAAAACACTTCAGTCTTTCCTTCTGTGGAGTTTCTCATTTGACCAGATGTGATTCTTACGAGCCACAGAAAAAGGATGCTGACAAAACAAACATGTCAAATTGTGTAGATAGTTGGTATGTTGGTGTTAGTCATTTTAGATTTTACTTTTAATATCATCAGATGCAATACAGGTTAATAGTCTTTTGATGAAATTTGCAGACAAAACTGGATTGAGAGTTGATGGAAAATCAGATCATGGCTATATAAAAAGAAAACTGAAATTGAGCTTGTTTATTGTATTTCATTACAGTAACAACAATAAGACTATTGTTAAAGCCTCTGTGTACACTGGTACAGAATCAATAGTTGAGCAAAACTCCAGCAGTATCGAAATAGTCATCTAAATGAGACTGCTAGCCCATCACCAACTCAACTCCCTCTCATCATTCCCGGAACTGTATTTTTGTCTTTGTAGATATAGTGCACAAATGAAGAGTAATATAGATGATAAGATGGATTTCATGCCAGTGTCCTTGGTGGCTAGGTGTCCTCATGTAAGGAGAAGCTTTAGATCCACTTGTACCCCTGATGTGATGTTTACCTTAGGAGACACATGCTTCCTCACTAAGGCCTTGGCAGTGCCCCCACCTCAGCCCCATGGGATGGTGGTCAGCCAGCAGAGACTGCTGTCATGTTCTCTCAAACATAATCTGCTTCTGGTCACGCAGACTTCACGTTGGCACAAACCTTCCAGTGGCTTACAGGCAGCCCTCTGACAGTGCTAGCTGCTGTAGTCTATAGTCACGTTCTCTTCCGTTTTTCCTCCTCTCTCTTCTCTGGTTTGCTTTACCTTCTCTGTTACCATTTTCTCATTCCCTGCAATTTAAGCTGTGTTTTCGATTCTGCCTTGTCTAGATGCAATTGCTAAGGTTATTACCACATTCTTGTATTTCATCCTACATTTTTGGTATCCAGCTTTTTCCTTGTTTCCTTGTTTTCTGTGATGCTGAAACCTTTATATCATATAGTATTTTCTACCTTGACTCTTTCAGTTAAAACACAGTTTATCTGAAGAAAGAGGAGGGTCAGATAGAAGTGTTAAAATCTGCTTCCAAATATTTGGGAAAAAACATGCCAATTTGAGGAGGGAGAAGTTTAGTCAAAACCAGTAAAATTATTTACAAGAATGAAACTAAAGAAAAAAATAGGCCCATTTAACTTTTCCTTTGGGTGGCAGTTACAGCAGCATGCTTTGCAGTAGAGATTGTAGCTTTGGCAGGAAAGTAGTTTGTTCCTTGCTTAATAAAAAAATGAAACTCCTCCCAAACTTGGCCAATTTGAAAGCTTTTGGGACAAATAAAACTGGTTTAATGAACATAGTGAAGTGTCTTTGATTTTTAACAATTAAAATATTTGATTTCTTTCTTCTGATTAGATTTTTTATCATTACAATCTCAGGCTGTATGTATCCTTTTGAAACACCAAATGTGCTTCAGCTCTGAACATATTTTCTCATAGTACTGCACAGGCTGTTTTAACTATGTGTAACTGGCGTGATTCAGCCAGGGACTGGAGACAAAGCCAGGCTTTTCCTGTAATGGCTGCTTGGGGCTGGGCTGGAGCTGAGCTGGTCTGTGTTGTGTGACTGCAGTTTAAATCTTTCTCCTTCTTCCTGTCACACCATCAGCATGTAAGAAAAAACCCAACCCACTGTTTTTAAAGGTAGATAAACTCTCTTTTAAAAATAGATTGGGTAACAGCTGGGATGAAGGACGGACACAGATTAGAACAAAGCATAAGAAGAAAGAAATTGGCACTTGGGTCAGTGTTGGGGGAGTATGGGAAAAGCTGGAAGCTGTTAGAGAAGGAAGGATGGAGCATGTAAGCTGAGAAGACGGGGAAAGGACTTAGAAGCTGCTGGCCTCTTGTCATAGTAATGCTAAAATGAGACAAGAAGCTGGGGAGATGCTGGTTCTGCTTATGCAAGAGACTGAAAATAATTACGTAGTTAGCAATAGGATGCAGGAGAGGAGGAGCTTGAATAGAAAGGTAGGAATGGCAAATTTGCATGAAGAGACACAGGCAGAATTTTACTGAGACTGTCTGAATAAGGCAGAGCTTTGGAACAGCCATTAAAGTTTGAGATGTGGAGAATGTGGATGGGTCAGGCGCTCAGAAGTGTGGGAGCTGAGCTGGAGGTGTTTTGCAGGGGGCATATAGGGTTAGAGAGAAGCCATCAGGAAATGTGTCCCTGTGGGAACCATTTCTGGTCCAAGACCAGAAATGTGAGACATAAACTTGTGGATTCCTCCTCTTTTTCTGTCCATATATACCTGTGCTTAGCAGAGCCTCTCCTGGTACACTTCTGGCCCATGTCTGTGCTGCTGGAAACACTCCAGACACGAGTTAAGAATGGTGGCTCTGGGGGTTCAGGAGGTCTCAGGGTTTCGGTTGTGCCATGAATGATGCGAATAGGGGTAAGAACGCTGCCGTGATGTGATGTTTCTCTTCCCAGCTGGTTTTAAAAATGAGCAAAAAACATGCAAAACACATGCAAAAAGTATTAAAAGAGGCCACTTGGAAATTACCAAATAATTATCACTTTTGCACTTCTCTTGATCTCTCAAGTGTTGACATTAAAAACAGTCCTTACAGTAGCAGACTGTCACATGCAGAGAGTATAATAGACCCAGTTGTGTGATCCTGGATATTTTTTACTAGAGAAAGCTGTCACCTGTGAGGTCCCTGGCCTGTTTGCTGCAGATGTTTGAGCTCGGTTAATATACTGGGCAGGGCTTGGGAAAACTGATCTTTAGGAAAGACAGGGGAATTCTGGTTTAGCCTGTGTGGTTCAGCCACTGAGCAGTCTTAAATCACTTAAATTAGGCTGTTTGTAGTTGTCACTGACTGATTTTTCCTCCCTTGCTATTTGCTGGACCTGGGGTTTGATTGTGGAAGTTGCAAAACGCACACAGTTGGAACCGAACTTGGTGGCAGTGTTGCTTGGTCATACAAAATGCTATATAAACACCAAATGCAATGAAACTGAAGAGTTCCAGTGATCAAGTGAGACACTGAATATCAATAAAACTGTTAAATCTTGATTTCTGGGTCTTGAACCAAACCGTAAAATAGGTACTGTATCATAATAGCTCCCCATCCCCATGGGCTTCTGGAGGTGAATTAAACTGAGCTTTGCAAAATGTGTGAGGTTTCTTAGGATTTGGTATGTCTGAAAACAGGAGCTGAAGTCTTCATAGCGTGTGTGTGCTTGAATGTTCTGTGCGGCCATAGCAGTCATGGGATCATTCCACTGCCTTTCTGCTTGTTGTAATGAAGAGAAACTCTGTGGTCACTTATGGGAAAGACTTGGCAGATGCAGAGCTTAACCACCAAGATATAAGTCTTTTAGCCAGCAAAGCAGCTAGACATATGACTTGCCTGTTAAATGGCTTCTGTATAACCTGCTGCTGCCACTTTCTAGCTTTTCAGATTATTTTTCTGTGGTTGCTGTTTGTGAGCAGGAATTTTCCCATCACGTGTCATCATGGTTGCAGAAAGATTTAGTTAGATAAGAAAATTGTATGTTGAAAATGTTACCAGAATTAACTTTAAAGCATATTTATATGAACCATTTGCATTTCAAAATGTCTTCCTGAACCTGTGGTTAGCTGTCCAAGCCATGTGCACTATATATTTGCTGTGAAGCTTGAAAAAAAGCAGGAAAATCATATATGCCTTTTTTTCTTTTTTTTGGTGCATTCCTCAGTGGCTTTTTTATTTCTTCCCCTTCCAAAGGTCCATACTCCTTAAATGGTTATAGGGTGAGAGTGTACAGACAGGATTCTGCCACCCAGTGGTTCACTGGCATCATCACTCACCATGATCTCTTCACCCGCACTATGGTAGTTATGAATGACCAGGTGAGTTGATGGATGATACTCAGAAAACAAGCTGCAAAGCTTGTCTCATAAGCTATGCATTGGGAAGTTCTAATTTTTGTTGGTAGCACTCAGAAACACACCAAGTTGGTTCAATTCCAGCAGATTGAGGGTATCACTGCACTGAAACTACAGTAAAACTGTGCTGAGCTATCAGTTAAATCCCCCTGAAGATGAGCATTTGTGCAGTGATATGATTAATAACAGTCCTATAGTTTATTCTGTTGTTGCTATTTGACTAGTGAAGTCTTTGAAGCGAAGCAGTCCAGTTTGAAGAACTGATCTTCCCTGTCTGCTGAGAATTTCTTTTCACAAGAATGAAATCTTTCAGCACTGCAGTAATGGTTACTTTTTCTAAGCAATTGAAATAGTCACTTCCTGCAATTTATTGAATTAAGCATTTACTGCAGCCATAATTTGTATGTGCTGTGGTGGATTTTAGTTTTATTTTGGAATTTGATGCTACAAAAAGAGTTAGTTACTGGTACTTTTAATGGCAGTAAATGAGTTCTATTTCAGGAGAGTAATGACTCAACAGTAATAGAGTGAATGACCCATCTGTCTTGAAACGACTGACAAAATCATGTGTGACAATAAAAATTTAAGACTAATCTATTACTCAGATAAATTCTTTCCCTTAATTTGCTCAAATTCATAATATTCCCCAAATGTTATTTTTTTCACTTTGTGCCATATCCTTTGAAGATCTGGTTAGCATTTCCTACTTTATGAAGTATTTCTCACTAGTAACACTAAGTTCTAGAGTTCTTCTTTCCAGTCATTTTGGTTCTCATCTTGTAACAGTTCTGCTTCTGTTGAAACCAGTACTATAATGTGCTTCTGCCATATAATTTATAGTATAAAATATTTGAATATTGTAATTACTACTTCGGGTTTATTCTATGAATAGCTTGTTCAATCTCAAATTTGCAGCTCAGTGAAGGGGGAAGGAATGGATGGTGGGATGCTTTTTGCTTTTTAAAAATATTTTTTTTGCAATGACACATAAAGACACATTTGCTTTGGTTTGACAGTGTTCCCAGCATTTATTGTGTTGTATGTCACTTATGCTTGTCAGGATTAAGTAGGCTTTTCTCTGATTAGTCCTTAGCACACAAAATAGACTGGTGAACGCTGGTACAGAAAATACAGATTAGGCATTGTCTGAACATCTGTGGATTGTTACTTTTTCTCTTGTCTTTTTTCTTTCTTTTTTACATAAACCAGGTGTTAGAACCTCAGAATGTTGATCCTTCTATGGTTCAGATGACCTTTCTAGATGATGTTGTTCACTCTTTGTTGAAAGGTGAAAATATTGGCATCACTTCACGCCGACGGTCTCGTTCCAACCAGAACAGCAACACAGTTCACGTAGATACATTTATCTTTTTACCTAAGTATTTTTGTATATTGCAAATGTTAAAAATACATGTTTAAAGACACTAATTAACATTGCATTTAAGTCCATTAATAACAAATTATTTTTAGGGTCATTATACGCGTGCACAAGCAAATAGTCCCAGACCAGCAATGAATTCCCAAACTGCAGCACCAAGACAGAATTCTCACCAGCACCAGCAGCAGAGGAATACTCGGCCAAATAAGAGGAAAGGCTCTGATAGCAGCATGCCTGATGAAGAGAAGATGAAAGATGAAAGATACGATTATATAGGTCGAGGAGGTAAAAGTGGGTAATGGAAAGGGAGGGAGAGCTTCCTGAAACTGTATTAGACTGCAAATCTGATAGATATGTTTTTATCTTTTGCAGAAAACCCCAAAACCAAAAATAAACACTTTCTTAGTAAAAGAAGAAAACCTGAAGATGATGAAAAAAAACTAAATATGAAGAGACTGCGGACAGACAATATCTCAGATTATTCTGAGAGCAGTGACTCGGAGATTTCAAATAAAAGATTAACAGATTCATCCTCGGAGCAAAATTCAGAAAATGAGTTAAAAAGCAAGAACTCTTCAAAGATAAATGGAGAAGAAGGAAAATCCCAAACTACTGAGGGAGTAGAAGAGACACTAACAGATAGACAATCTCCATGGGATGAAGTACAGCAGGATAAAAACCATGAAGAGACAGAAAGACTGAAGTCGTCAGTCTTGGATCATCAGGAAAAATCTTCGCTCCATGCAGCGGAGCAGCTGATGCTTTATGAGCAGACTGCCAAGGATCCACCTTTTCAAGAGAGTAATGCAGAAAAGCATCATACTGTGGAGATAAAAAATGAGCAATTTTTACCCAGACCTCTTACTCCTAAGTGTGTTATTGACATTACTAATAAAAACAACTCTGAAAAGGAGAACCACGATAATTCTGCAAGTACCTTTGGTTTGCAAACTGTTCAGAAAATAGAATCTCACAGCAGTGATTTAAAGCAGCAATTTGCAAATGCAAATTTCCTTGAAGCAAGAAAACAGGAAGCTGATCAAAGTTGGGTTAGCAGTGTTGATAAAATGGATTTGATACAACCTGGGGTTGTAAAAACATTACCAGTAAATGAACACTTAAATTCTGAAAAAATGCAGTATGGCTCATTTATGTCTTCGTTAAAGGTAGCTTCTCTAGCAGAAGAGAGTAAACTGCGTAAACAAAGTCCAGTCCCTGATTCTGTGAAGTCAAAATCTAGTGCTTCAGTTGATCATCCTAAAACAAAGTCACCTGACGTTAAGCCTAAATTCACCCAATCTTCTGATACTGTGAAGTCTAAGGTTAGTTCCCAAAATAGCCATGCTACTGGATTAACAAGGTTAGCCAATAAAACTGATCATGATTTGCCTAGGTCTAGTTTTCATCCAGTTCCAGCTAGAGTTAGTGCTCTAGAAGCTACTAAGAGTCCTCTTATCATTGACAAGAATGAACATTTCACAGTATACAGGGACCCCACTCTGATTGGACAAGAAACAGGAACTAATCACATTTCACCTTACTTGCATCAGCATAATTATCCTCTGCATTCCTCATCCCACCGAACCTGTTTAAATCCAAATGCACATCATCCTTCATTAACTGGTTCATCCCATCTGCTCGCTGGGTCTTCAGCTCAGGCTCCCTTGTCTGCTATTAACACTCACCCCCTTAGTAGCGCATCTCATCACTCTGTTCATCACCCTCATCTACTTCCCACAGTGTTGCCCGGAGTGCCTGCTGCCTCCTTGCTGGGTGCCCACCCGCGACTAGAGACTGCTCATGCTAGCAGCTTAAGCCATTTGGCATTAGCACACCAGCAGCAGCAACAGATGTTACACCAGTCTCCACATCTTCTTGGACAAGCTCATCCTTCTGCTTCCTATAATCAGCTAGGGCTTTATCCAATTATTTGGCAGTATCCAAATGGAACACATGCTTACTCAGGACTTGGTCTGCCCTCCTCCAAATGGGTCCACCCAGAAACTCCTGTTAATGCAGAGGCTTCCTTGAGAAGGGTAAGTTAAAATCCTTTTTTAATGATGTATATTTAGCTGAGCTTGGTGTCTCCCAGCAGTGATTTCCTTGGTACAGATGTGGAGTTTACTGTGATATTGGGGTATTTGATTAGGTAGAGAACTAGGAATGAAACTACAGCAATAACCATTGTCTCATGGTGAATGTGTGTAGGGAGTTTATCCAGACCTTGATTTCCTAAGAATTCTAAAGAAAGATGAAATGTTTGATTGTAATTTATGACTAAAAGTGAGGTCAGCCAGCTTGTTTGGGAACTCAAGTTCACAGGGTAAATATTTGCTACCTCGAACTGTGTACCATTGTGTAAGTGAAATATTAGGATAGGTGGGACAGTCGTCTTCATAGTGAAGTTTTGTGGATGCTCACTCAGTAATGGTGAAAGATGGTGAGGGAAGAGTACTAAATCCAGTGGGAAGTTCTGAAGAGAAATACTCTTGCATTTATAAATGTTTCATGCACACTGTACACCCATTTCTCTTGTCTTTATACCTATCTGTGTACCCTTTTCTTGGTGTGTCATTTTCTCCCCTTCTGTTTCTGTTGACACACATCCCTGCCTTCCCATCTGCTTTCTACTTCTCTGCGTTCAAGTCAGGGTGATTCCTCTGTCAGTTTGCTGAGTGTAACCACTGAAGTCTCAGAAGAAATGGTTTGTGATTTTCAGCCTAGTGCCCAGTGTGGCAGTGGGGTTTGGCAGGTAGACATGGCAATTACAGGAAAAGTTTTCTTAGCTCCTGAAGGCTTGGGATATATGGCATGCTATATAAGCAGGCACCTCACAAGAATAGCGTAAGATAAAGTGTGTGTAGTGCAGACAGAAACTTTGGAGAGCTTTACTGCCAGCTTCAATTAAACCACCACTGAATATTGTGCATACTGATCTTTAGAGGCCTTGGCCTAATTTGGGCAGATTTTCACAGAGACCACAAAAGGCATGTCATTGACAGTGGTCCTTTTGCCAAATTGTAAGCTTTTGTGTCACAGCTTGGTATTTTGAATGGTTAGAAAGATACTTTATTTTTAGTTCATCATGGGGAAGGCTGTTCCTCCCCAGATTGATTCTTAAAAGAAAGCCAAACATTGTGGCTAAGTCTTTTCCAAAACAGTCTGAGTTGGCCTTGTAATATGAAGTGAGTTTGATCTAAAATTTGATAAGATCAAAATATAGCAGTGAAGAAAAGCCTAAGAGAAAAAGATAGGTGGGTTTATCTTTTTGTGTTGCTGCCTGCTCCACCCTCTCAGAAGTCCATTTTAAATGAACTTAAGACTGACGTTGTTTTCACTTTGGCTGCCTGAAGAATGCAGCCCTGCATACTGAGGCACGTAGGTTTTTAATTATGTTGATATGTGGCAGTTATCTTGTAGTGACTTGTCTTCTGGCTCTCACACTGAAGGCCTTTTGTAAATAGACCTTAGAAACCCGGAATGGGCGTTTCCAGGGTCGGTTTGTGTGGATGCCACAATCACAGAAAGGGATCTGTGTTTCAGCTATAAGAGCAGCAGCAGCATCCACCCTTGGCTTAGGGCTGAGCCTTGTCTCTGAGCTGAAGGAAGCATGCCCTGAGCCCACCTTTCCCTACTGTCCTTGGGTGGCTGTGGCAGCTCCCACATTTGGGCTGGACAGTAGATGGTTGCAGGAGAAGTCATAAAGTTGTTTGAGCAACGCTTGGTACTCAGGCAGATGTTCCCCAGCTCCTCTAAGTAGAAGGTGATGAGCCTTCTTTGCATAATACTTTAATACAGCTTACAGGCTGTTGGTGGGAACTCAACACAGCATGGGAACTCCTGGCCTAGGAGACGTGCACAAACACAAGTGGCTGCCTTAAATATTTAAAAACATAGAAACCATAACTTCAAAGCTGTAGCACTTGCAGGTCTATTCTGTGCTGTGTGCATGTGTCATGAGAGCTCTTGGCTCCCCTTCTGCTGCAGCAGTTCCCAACTGGAATTGCCAGTTCTAAGGAGAAGGATAGGGATGGACTGGTGAGGAGTGTAGGGAGGGGAAGAAGGTAGGGATGGACAAGGAATGGACCCAAAGCCTTGTGGTGCTCACAAAAGCTCACTCCAGTCCCTTCTTGGCTTGTCCCCAGCTCTTTAGCCCCACTTGAACAGGTGTCCTGCTTTTCCACTCTGCTGTGTGCACTTCTTGTAAGCAGGTCTACTAAGCAGAGGAGAGAGAGAGAAGAGGACAAGAGGAGAGAGCAAGCTGTTCGTGGTCTTTTCTGCAGACTGTTATACAAGTTTCAGTAAAGATAAGAAAACAGAGACTTAATGAAGTAGTAGATTAAAAAGTAGTTTCATAGATTTACCTGTGTGTCTAAACAAGGCCCACCTTTGGAGTGTTTAGATATACAGCATAAAATTAATTGACTCTGTGTTTGCCATGCTGCACACTATGGCAAGGGTGTACATTTATGGTTTTAATAGTGTGGTGATGATGATCAAGCCAAATAAAAATGCCTGACTAAATAAAGTAGATTAATTAAGATTATCATACTTAATCATTTGATTGGGGCAGGAGAGGAACAATCCAGGAAAGAGATACTTGCATCCCTTTTATTGAGATTTGTCATAAGGCTGGAGATAAAATTGCTTCCAGAAATATCACGCCATATTTGTATTTAAAGATATCTTGCAATTCTTTGAAGAGGTAATGGTCTTTTTACTGGTAACTGAATTTAAGTGTTGTCAGGTTGTCATTGGTTTGTTAATTTTGATGAGCTGCAGATGCTGTTCTAGAATTAACTGCTTATCCTGAGTACTGGAAAATTAAATGGTTATAAGAATGCTTCTGAAATGTGTAAACTGTTTTGTATACTGGAATTTCAGGGAAAGTACAATTGTGTTTTAGTTGGTCAAAAAAAGTGACTTAAAATGTTAGATTTTATTTACTGTCTATGATTTGATACTGAAATACATTACTTCACTTTGATAATTGGTAGGACTTGGTAGAGTTGCCCTTGTGGTCCCATGATTATTTTGAAATCTGATTTTATTTTTTGTTTTGGTTGGTGCTAACAGAATACTCCCAGCCCCTGGTTACACCAGCCCACCCCAGTGACCTCAGCTGACAGCCTTGGTTTACGGAGTCATATTCCCGTGCGACCATCCAGTGCAGATCCCCTTCGGCCTCTTAAACTGACAACGCATTCCAGCCCACCTTTGTCCAAAAGTATTGTAGAGCATCGCAAAGAGTAAGTTTGCTGTTGAACTCTGTGTGTGAGGGTACATTTCAGTGAGTGATGTTGCCTTTTAGCTTCCTTTTAGTTTGTAGATGTGGATGCCTGTGGGGGTCACAGGCTTGTCATTATGTTGCCTTGTTGACTTGGTATGATACTTGAGTTCATGAGTCATTTGAAGACTTCTGAAGGTTGTACTTAATATAGAGAAAAGTTTATTTTGTGTTAATAGATAACTTCGTTCAGGGCATGGGAAGAAAGGTCTTCTGTCTAGCATGTTGTACTACATTCAGGCTAACCTGTGTTTGCTCAACCTTTCTTCAAACAGAGAACTGGAGAGGAAAGTGTTTGTTGAACCTTTGCGTTCTGTTACCACTGCACCAGTGAAGAGTGAACTAGAGCAGAGCAGAATGCAGACAGCAAAGGAGAGCCATCTGCATAGACATTATGCAGATCCAGTGTTGAACCAGCTGCCAAGGCCATCACAGGAGACTGGGGAGCGACTGAGCAAATACAAAGAAGAACACAGACAGATACTCCAAGAAAGTATAGAAGTTGCTCCTTTTACAGCTAAAATAAAGGCACTGGAGGGAGAGAGAGAGAACTACTCCAGGGTAACATCCTTATCTTCAAGTCCCAAAAACCATTCAGTGAAATACGACAAAGATGCTGAATGCTCTGTGTCGGAACTGTATAAAATGAAACATTCAGTTCCACAGAGTTTGCCACAGAGTAACTATTTCACTACCTTGTCTAACAGTGTAGTAAATGAACCACCGAGATCATACCCATCAAAGGAAGCTTCAGGTGTATGTGTTGATAAGCAAACTAATTGTCCTTCAACAGCAGCTAGTCCCCAGGCTCTCCCCTCCTACATTTCTTCCCTTTCAAAACCACCACCTTTAATTAAGCACCAACCAGAGAGCGAAGGCTCTACAAGCAAGATACCTGAGCAGCTTTCACAGTCAGTGCAGTCTCACTCTGTAAATTCTTTCAGAAATGACAGCAGGAGCCCTACTCAGTTGTCAGCCTTATCTTCAAATACACTCCGGAGTATGCCTGCCTTGCATAGGGCCCCTGTGTTTCACCCTCCTGTGCACCAGAACCTGGAGAAAAAGGAGAGCAGCTATAGCAGCCTTTCACCTCCAACTCTAACCCCTGTTCAACCTGTTAATGCTGGTGGTGGCAAAATACAGGAGTTGCAGAAACCACCAACTTTAGTACCTGAGCCCAAGGAAGCCCAAACTGTTTACAAGGGCACTTCTGAACAGAATTTATCAGAAATGTGGAAGTCTAATAATGCCCCAAATAATGAAAAAGTGGATTGGCACAGTGAAAGAATGAGTGGAAAGTCACAGTCCGCTACAGCATCTGTTATTGTGCATCCTCCTTGTAGCATAAAATACGAGAATGTACCAGTAATGCAGTCTGCTTCCAAAGATCAAGCTAGTGAGAGATCTTCAGCTGTGACAAATATAGCAGATTGCCTGAAAACACTGCCAAATATGAACTCAGACAGTGCTCACACACGGTATGAAAAGAAATTTGCAGTTGTCTCGCAAGGCAGTATTCCTCATGCTGTCACCCCTACCACAACAATCATCTGCAGCACCAAAATGGATGTCACTGCATCAGCAACAGTGACAACCAGCTTGTCAAGCCAGGGGAGCTCTGAAGTGACTTACTCAGTCTCGAGCACAGTGTCCTGCACGCTGCTGGAGTCCACAGCTCCAAGAGCGGCCAGCCAGGTGGCGGCACAGTTCCAGGAGTGCAAGGTCAGCACTCCAGCTCCGGTTACATCTGCTGCTGGCAGCACAGGCAATGCTGCTCAGCCCAGCTCGGGATTCTCCACCTCTACTGACTTTGTCCATTTGAAAAAGCACAAGGCAGCATTGGCTGCAGCTCAGTTTAAAAGTAGTAACACCACTGAGACAGAGTTCAACTCTGTGAAAAATCAGACGTTTTCAACCTCTCTCTCCCTAGACAGTGCTATAGTCTGTAATACAATAAACAAAGCGAACTCTGTAGGCAGTGGGCAAACTTCCCAGACGAGTCAGCCAAACTACCACACTAAACTGAAAAAGGCTTGGCTAACAAGGCATTCAGAAGAAGATAAAAACACTAATAAAAAAGAGAATTCAGGGAACAGTGTTTCAGAAATTGTTAAGCCGTGTACTGTCAATTTAATAGCTTCTACATCAAATGATTTGCAAAATAATATAGATACCAAAATCTTGGCAGATAAGTTTGTAAAGGAAGATAAGCACCCAAGGAGAAAAGGAAAACGAACTTATGAGTCTGGCTCTGAAAGTGGTGACTCTGATGAAAGTGAGAGCAAGTCAGAGCAAAGGACTAAACGGCAGCCCAAGCCAACTTACAAAAAGAAACAAAATGATTTGCAGAAAAAAAAGGGTGATACTGAGGAAGAAGTGAAACCAAATGGTGTTCTTAGCAGGAGCGCCAAAGAAAAGAACAAGCTGAAGTTGCAGAGTGGCAGTAACAGCAGTGAGTATATTAATCTGATTTAGAAGACATAGAAGCTTGTGAAGTCCAACGCTGTTAATCCTGGCGGGTTTGTCATTTACAATAGATGGAAAAAGAGCTAAAAAACATGCCTGTGTAAAGGAGTAGGTCCAGATTTATCTGTCTTGAGGCCATTTTAATTATCCTGGTGTAAGAAAAAGAGCATTTTGTATATCTGTGTTAACAGACTGGTTCTTGGCCTAAAAATGAGCAGTAAACCATTTTGTCTATGCTGTCCATCAGAATTGAGCAGGCTGGTGCATATAGTTGTGCCACTAGTATTGAGATATATATACATAGGTATATAACATATATGTGTATATTAGACATATATATGTGTATATATATATATATGTTGGGGGGTTTTTATTTTGAGATCTAATGCATTTATTTTTAGAGCACTCCTGGAGGGAAAGATTCTCTCTTATTGAGCTCTAATTCATCCTTTGATCAGAAAGCCAGAGGCAGTTTTTTGAGAGCCTGATGCCACTCAGTTATGATTTGGTTAATTTAATGAAAGGTTTAAGGGAGCATAATTTCACACTCGTAACTAGCGTATGTAGTACATGGTGTTAACATCCCTCCTGTTTAAGGAATAAAAAAAGGGGAAATACAAATTTCCATTTAAATGCAATACTGTAATGTGTGGCAGATTGTAACTAGATTAATCTGAAAGGTGAAACCGGTCTGCCAGCATAAGAGATTTTATTTAAAAACTTGCCTTATTTTTTATCCCAATTTATTCTTCTCCAAGGATTCTTCTTTGTCTGGTTAAGTATGAGAGAGTATACCATTAAATTACTTATTTAATATATAAGAATTTTTAAGTACAGGTAGCAAGAAAATGAGCAGTACTGCCTGTAATTACATTCTGTAGCTTTTCACTGTCTGGTGTATAAAGTTACTTTTCTGGTATCTGAGAGTCCTTGATCCCTGAATTGTACTGGGAGCTGAAAGTGCTGTGGTCTGTCTGAAGTACTCTGGATATTTGGTCCAGTTGTAATAGTATTGCTTTTCCTTTCTGCTTCCAAGTAAAGGGAAGATCAAGGCAGACATGTCTGTAAAATCTTTTTCAGCTTCCCTTGTTAAAGTAAATTGTAAATACATACATTTAACATGTTAAGTGTTTATGACCTTTGTGTTGTTGCAAAGGATTTTTTTGTGGTTAATTTCTGCAAGAGAGCTGGTCAGACGTTTTTCTTTCAAAAAGAACTTTCCACAAAGATTTACACAAAATCACAGTCAACCTTGAGGAGCTTTCAGGAAAGATGATGTTCCCTTGGAACAGCTGCCTGAGTTCTCTGTAGGTGGCTGGAGGTAACTTAACTATGCTTCATGGTCTGGGACTCAGTGGCAGTTTTGTAGCATGGGTGGTATGTAGATTCCAAATGAGTTGAACAGTGCTTTGTCCTGATGCTGTTTTAGAAAACCCCCTGGGAGCTTGTGTGCTAGCCAGAGCTCTCAGAGCTCCAGGCTGGGAGGCTCTGTCCTGTAAAGCAAAGCATTTCACAGCCCTGCAAGTGCTGGGGGTCTTCCAAGTGCCTACTCACAGAGCTTGAAGTCTAGCAGCTCCCAGATGATACCCAGGATCTTTGCTTTCAAGGCAGAAAACATTGTTTTGGACTAGTAAACCTGTTCTTGGGCCTTTTTTACTCTTCAGGTTTTAATCCAGTTACTGTAATGCCTTGGGTGAGTATGGAATGTGGTTTCTAGACCAAGAACTGAGGCATAGGCAGTCTGTCACTTGCAAAGTTTGTACAAGTCACCTCTGGCAAAATACCAATCTGAACCCAGGTACCAAGTCCAAAGGCACCCTGACCCTTTTATCATCCTACATCAGATCCCTGTTTACAGGAAATGAACTTTCAAGAGTAGTGGTAGATGAAATGACAGATCTCTGTCTGCAGATAAGAGTGCTGTGACATTCAAGACTCCTTAAAATGAAAGCTTGGTTAAATAACAACAGGGTTCAGTTTTATAGTTCAATAGACTTGCTCCTAATGTTTCTTGGTGTCAGATATGCTGACTTCAGTATCGAAAACAGAATTATACTGCTTGGCCTTGCGAAACCAACAAACCAGACCAGGTATAAATAGGTTCTGTGACTATAGCTGCTATCCTGTAGTCATATCTGTAACCTTCAAAAAAAAAAAAAGTTTTGGAGGAGCTGGAATTTGGTTTTAGGTTTGTTTTTTTTAAGCTTTGCTTTTATTCATTAAACTGTGGCCTTTTTTGCCTACACCTTCACTTGAAACAGAGTTCAAACCTAACATTCTTGCAGTATTGTATGTCTTTGTTTTTGTAAGAATGAGATTCTGAAGATGGTTTTAGTAGAATATCCGGTGAATAATACACCTAATATTAGGGAAAATGTAGTTTCTTGGGAGCTTAGCAGTTACTTAATTGTGCTTGTGCCTGTGTAAGTTTAATTGGTACCTTTGATTTTTTAACTTTGGTGCTGACAGGCAGGCAAGTGGAAATAAAAATGAAATATGTTATGCAGATAAGACATGTACCAGGAAAAAAACATTGACTGCTCACTCTCCTGACTGTGATCTGTGAGGAAGCAGTGCCAGTACCTCATCTGAAACTCTCCTTACTTTTGCAGCTGGTATACCTCGCTCAGTGTTAAAAGATTGGCGCAAAGTAAAGAAGCTGAAGCAAACGGGAGAGTCCTTTTTGCAGGATGATTCTTGTTCTGAAATAGGACCAAATTTGCAAAAATGCAGAGAATGTAGGTTAATAAGAAGCAAGAAAGGAGAAGAGCCAACTCACTCACCAGTATTTTGTAGATTTTACTACTTTCGGCGGTAAGTGTGCCTGGTTTCCTGGTAATGTGATGCTTCAGCTTTTAAAAATGATACTGACAAAGGACTGGCATACTTGAAAGCATACCTGATTTTTCTGTCTCAGTCCATCTGATAAAAGACAGAATCTATTTTAACAGTATTTACATACGCATTTCTTTTGTGGATTGACTTCGTCGCTTTAAAGCTTTTATAGCAAAGGCATCAGAACATCTGCCTGGTGTACCTTAGCTTGAGTACCGTACCTTACCTGCCTGGTGTACCTTACCAAGCAGAAAATACAGCATACCACTGTTACACAGGCGTCTGATATTTGAAGTGGAATTTTTCAAAAGGCAAGCTTCAGATTTTCTGGACAATTTGTACAACAGCAGAGTTGCACTTATTTGTAACTGTTCTTATGCCAGTATATGGTGGGAATTTGCTCAGTGTTCTCTGGGAATTTTCTGAGGACAGAGAGGAGATGTGACCTCCTTTCTTGCCATTAATGACCCATCAATGAAAATTCAAACGGAAGATGATTTCCTGGGGTGCAGGAAGGGTCAAGGAAGGGTAAAATAGCTTCAGTATGTGTATGGATTGTGCTGTCAGTATTAATCCAACTTGTTTTCAACAAGAAACTGTTCCCTAAATGGAGTTTAATTTTTTGTAATGAATCTTCACTTACAAGACTTGGTAGATCTGTAAGGAATTGTTTCTAGATTGGACTCTGAATACCTTCTCTGTAAGAGTATTTGCTTCCACATTTGGCAAAGTTGGAATTTTACTGGGGTTTTTTTTTTCCCTTGTACAAAGGAGAGAACATAAAGGTGTGCCAACATATTTAAAAACTAGTATGGAATTAAAAAACTTGAATGTTTTTATTATATTGTGGTAAGTTTTACAGAAGTTTAATTTCAATGTGTTTAGACAGTGGGGCTTGAATATCAAAAGACGTTTACAATTCTTTTGGAAACTGTTGTTGTTCTGGAAGCTAAAAGTTGATAATTTCATCTTTTTAATTTGAATACATATCTAAATGTTATTTTTTTATACTTCTAAATTCAGGACTGTTTTGCTGGCATAAATTCCTTAACTGTTATAATCACATCTGTATAATGACTTATCCTGTTTTGGATAAGATGGAATGATTAATTGTTACTGCTTAAAAATAGGGTAAGTATAGCCAGGGTTAGTGAAACAGCCCTGGGTAGGGTAACAGGAAAGTCTTTTAAAGGTCAGAGTGTAGTGGATACAAAAATATGAGCTTCTATTGGTGATTTGTTCTGCCTAGAAAAATTTAAACGCAATGTTTTAACTCATGTTTTCTCAGTATGAGAGCAGTATTATACAGAAATCTATAAAATATAAGTCAAAGTGAGTGACTGCTGTCACATACATTCCAAAATTTGAAAGTGAGGAAGGAAGGTAGGTGGAACCAAACTTTGACCAAAATAAAAAAGAAAAAAAGAATTATTCTGTCTGCAATTTTAAAAGAGTAATAAATGCTAGAGAGAGAATGATGAGTGAACAGAATGCAAAAAAGTTCCTAAAAGGTCAGTTTCAGTTTTCATACTTTTTTATTTATCATTTTAGAACTATTTTCATCAATATGTTGGGATTTATTTTAAATTTTAAAAAGTATGTAGGATGATAAGGTGAAAAGACAACTTCCATGTTGTAAGATATAACAGCAAGGTAAAGTAGTAACTAAAATGGAAGTCACAGACTATAATGATACATGCAGTCCAACTACCTGTTTTCATTTTCAGGTTGTCTTTTAGTAAGAACGGAGTGGTTAGGATAGATGGTTTCTCCTCTCCTGATCAGTATGATGATGAAGCACTGAGTTTATGGACACATGAAAACTATGAAGATGAAGAGCTGGACCTAGAAACTTCTAAATACATTCTAGATATCATAGGGGATAAATTTTGTCAGTTGGTAACATCTGAGAAGACAGCCATGTCCTGGGTGAAAAAAGACGGTAAGGAACCCTCAAAGCTCTCAAGTGTTCTGCAGTGTTTCTTGGATGATCATTGCTTCCTTTTGCATAGGTCTCTTCCCCTGGCTGTTGGATTTTCCTAGACTGTTCATAAGAGGACATGCTGGAAGGGTTCCTTCCTCAGTAGACTAGCCCAATCCCCCTCCCTGTTCTGGTGGCTGTCCTGGGCCAGGGCTAGGCTCCTGCTGGGTTTGGAGTAGCCTCCATTCCCAGCCTGGCCTCCAGCTCTCCAGCCAGAGCAGCCAGCTCCCAGCCAAGGCCTATGGTGAGATAGATACTGACTGTTGCCAACAAATGGTATGTTTCTGATGTGTCTCCTTCCCAAAACAAAGGAGGAGAGTGGAGCAGCATAGGCCATGCAGAGCATGTGCTAACACTGTCATCTCCTCCCCACCAAAGCCACTGTTCATCCTTCTGGCCCACAGCAGATGGACACAGGCTGGTGGCTCTACTAATTCCAGGCTGTATAAGGAAGAAGTAGAGCAGAAAACACATACTAGTCAGGTCTCCTGAACCAGCAGCTCCCTCCCCTCCTGCCAGCTGTCCAGCTTGCTGGTTTGGCTGCCCTTTAAATCAGACATGTCCTGTGGACAGTCAGGTGAAAAACCCTCTTAGGTGTGTGGGGTTAGAAGTGTATGCTAAAAGAGTTATTCATGCTTGCAGCAATATCTTTTCTGGATTACTTCATTCTGTATTCAGTTTTCTGAATGCTTTATTTCTTTGTAATGTGTTGATAGTAGCACTGAAGGGGATGCTGTGTAATGGAGCTAAGGGGGTCGCTCTTGATGGCCTGTTCATGAAGGATCACTCTCCTCTCCCAAAACTCAGTTGTGTCTGAGGGGAAACCTAGAATGCCTAATCTATAAAGACTATTCATTCTGTGCTTTGCATTTAAACTTCAGTCCTTTTATTTTGCTTATTTTGTATTTCAGCCAAAATTGCATGGAAGAGAGCAGTGAGAGGAGTCCGTGAGATGTGTGATGCATGTGAAGCCACATTATTTAACATTCATTGGGTCTGCCAAAAATGTGGATTTGTGGTCTGCCTAGATTGTTACAAAGCAAAGGAAAGAAAAAGTTCTAGAGGTCAGTTATTTGTGAACTAGAGTATTGTATGGGCTGTTTAGTCTCATTTTTTGCAGAGCTGCTGATCCACCAAGAACTGTCTTTCTGTAAAGTGTTAAATTACTTCTTGTGTATATTGGTTTCTCTTAGATACTTTTTCCCTTTTTTGTCAGTAGATGTAAAAACAGTCATTCAGAAAGCACCTGCTGTGAGGCTATTTTAGCTCTTTGTCTGCGTTTCAGTCTTTCTGTGTGGATTGTTGTGGATTGTTTGTGCCTTGCCCCTCAAGGTTAAATCTTGTTCTTCAATTGTGAGACTGGTGCTCAGTCACAACTCCTTCTTTATGGTAACTCACTATTGTTAAGACTTGCCTTGATTTGAATGCTTTCTGGAGTCCTCCCTTCAGAAGTGGTTTGTCATACTGACGTAACATCCTATTTTATAGTTCTATCATAAAAAAGAAAAATATTAAGAAAAATACTTCAGGTAGTATTAAAATGAACCTTAATGGAAGTTTCACAATCCATAAGCCTACACATATATGTGGTTTATTCTATGCTCTAATGGAAATAGCTACTTTAGTCTGGAGAGAGAGAAATATAACAGAACTAACTTGCAAACCTCTGATTTCTGGGTGACCCAACTGGGTTGCAGTTGAAAGGAAGAATGACTTAGAGAATTGATCCGGGCTTGGAGCCCTCAGCTGTGACACTTGCGTGCAGGCTGCTGGGTGGAATGCATTGCCTTCCCTGGGAGGCAGGCATTGTGCCCTAGCACAGTTCTGTGGTCAAATCCTGTGCCAGGAACTGATTCAAGTATAATGCTATTTTGAAAAGCCATTCCATGTTTGTCATAGCCATGTAATGTCACAGATGTGAAATGTTAGTAAAATAAAGTTTAACTATTATGTGGCAAAGCTTTGCCAAATAGAGAATCTCACCCACTTTGTCCCTGGCTTTCGGTGACAAGCCTCCTACACTGAAGTTTTTAGGGAGCTAATGTTAGTGTTTTTTCGCACTGAGAACAGTTGTTAATGCTTTAATGCTTTAAAGCATTAAATGGATACTGCTTCTTCAGGAGCTCTTCACTGGCTGAAGTCTGTATGTGCGTCTGTCTGACGTGGCTTGGGATATACGCCAAACATCATTTACTCTGGTGGGAACACACAGTCAGAGGCTTTTTTAAATATGTGTTAACCAGCCAGGAAAGTTTTAGTAAAATGTCTTAGAAGTTTGAACAAGCAGTATAAAAAGAAGTAGGCTTCTCTAGTTTTGCTACAGGGAGGACTTTCTCCTTTCTGTTGATTGCAATTTTATGTGTGAGAGCAGAAGTACAACAGCTTCCCTCACCGTGGCTTAATTACTAATGATGCTGTAGGATTTGTGCGAACTGTGTTGCTTCTTTGGCACCCTTTTAAAAAACATTCAGAACCACCCAGCCATCTGTATATAATAGGACTTTATATTACACCATTTTTCCTGGAACCGGTAGTTGTTTTTACAGTTGCTGAATGTAACAGAGAGTCCCCTGATTTTTCCCTGCTTCAGCAGGAATGTTAGAGGTTTTAGTATTCCAGATATACTTATCAGTGACTTATCACTTAACTGCACGAGTGAATGAATATGCAACCATTGTTTCCATCAGACAGGCATGTTACGACATTTCTGTGAGAAAATAGATTAAGTAGATATATACTGTTCTGTTGTCTTGATTTATTTATGTTTGTGACCAGTTGGATATTTAGATGTTTTAGGTGCTGCAAAAACTACTGAATAGCTTATAAATTTAATACTTATCTGAAAGGAATGTTTGAAAGTTTGTAGTGTACCTATTACAGTGTAAAAAAAAATGCCTCAGATTTGTTGAATATTTCCTTCGGTGTGTTCCTTAGTTTAAATTGCTGGAGTGAGCAAACTAGTAAAAGGCTTGGAAAAATGTCTTAAAATTAGCAGTTTAGTGGACAGGACGCAAGACGGGATTGAGAGAGGATTTGCATTCTTTCTGCCCCAAAATCACATGGCAGGTTGGTGACCAGTTCCTTGGCCAGATATTTTTTGTTCTCATTCTTCTTGTGTGTTCTTTTTACACCACATATTTTGGGAGAATCTTCCTTAAACTTTTTAGAAAGCCTCTCTTGCCTACCACTTAGGCCCTCTCTGCTGGCATAAATGATTTTCAGCCAGAACATAGAGACTTGGGGTTTCATGGTTGCTTTAATATGACATATATTACCGTGATGCAACTTCCCTCTCCTTTGTGCCACCAGTACCACTGGTGTAGCTGCATGGTAACCTGAATTAAAGAGATGATTAGGTTAGAAGTTCATCTTCTTGGCTTGTCTGGCAAACTCTGGTTGAAAACATATGCTTCCAGTTGGAGTATGGATTGTGTCAAATTAGATGAACCATACAATTGCAACCTAATTATGTCTCTTTTCCATGGCTGGATTCATCAAGGGATATTCATGGCCTTAATAGCCATGGTATTATAATAGGTGTAAAGGATTTCAGCCTATGTTAAATTGGCAACTCACTAAATATGCTAAGGGGAATACACTTTGAAATTTGGAGGTAATTTGCAAGGGCCTGTGTTACAGATGCAGCTATTTCAGATTTCAGTGTTGTTAAAACTCTTTTCGTTAATGTGAAAAGTTGCTGTGTTGTATGCATCACACTGGATACCCAGACAGAAGGCCTGTATGTGCAGAGAAATGTATCTAACCAAAACCAGTCTGAAAGACCTTAGCTCTGTTTGTGTGCAACATAAGGGAAGTAAAACATTGGCAATACTATTTTGCAGATAAGGAGTTGTATGCCTGGATGAAGTGTGTGAAGGGGCAGCCTCATGATCACAAGCACCTGATGCCAACGCAGATTATTCCAGGCTCTGGTAAGACCTTATGCGAACAAACAGAAGCTTTTATTTCCCAGGCCTTTCTGTGAAGAGCGGCCAGAGTTGTTTCTTGACACTTTTCATTTTTCATTTAAAAACCTGGGAATTGGGTTAAATTGTTGCAAGAAAGCAAGTGGTTCTGGGCAGTTGCCAGCACTGAGCACGGATGATAAGAGGACTGTGCTGACAGATTTGTTAAGGGGAGTTTTGGGGACAGGCAGTGAAGAAATCGAGGGCCTTTTTTGTGATGGATTTGTATTTTTTTCAGGACAGAATAAAACAATCAAAATGTACTTAATAAATCTGACATTAGCTGTTATAAGAAAACCTTTAAATAGTACCATTGAGGCAGTGGATTTTTGGGGATTTGTTTTTCACTGTTGTCTGTCTCATACCCAAAAAAGAAAAGAAATGTTTTGGTTTAGATGATTGCGCAAAATGCAGTGAATGAGCTTGTGATAATTGAAAAACTAAGCAGGAATCATAAACCTAGCTAGATTCAGAATTCTGCTTACAACCAAGTAAGTTCTCTGAAGTAGTACCATTATGTGTAGTGTGTAGGTATGGTGTAGTGATTGTTAGCACAAAATTTCTGTCAACATTGATACAGACCAGAAAAGAGAAAACTGAAATGTGCCTTTAACATACGAAGTAAATTCCCAGGTTTTTTCAAGCTGAAAATACAGAACCAGTCATTATTCTGTGGGTTGTTGTAGGTAAGTTCAGGTAGAAATTAAGGTTGGGTAGATTTCATAACAAATTCAAATTGTGACATTTCCCAGGTGTTCTAGACTGAAACTGGTTTTAATTTTAAATTGTGAAAGTGGACCACTCATCTGGAATTAGCACAATGAAGCCTGCCTACTTAACCTCAATTTTGTTCTTCTGTGCATACCCATTATCAAACAGCCTTCATTTCTATGCTCACGTACTGATTTTTTTTGTCAAGACATAGCTCACTTCAGTCTGTAGCTGATGGTTTCATTGAATGAAGCAATGATATACCCATTTAACAATGAGAGGCAGATAATTAATGGCTTGCCTGATGTGTGCCATGCAATGGGAATGCCCACTAAAGCTTAAATTATGCAGAAGAGTAGTGTGCAATTACTTAATTTAATGTCTCTCTGCACAAGCTTAAAGATAAACCGGGCAGTCATTTTGGAGTAGTTTTGAGTGGTAAATTCAGCATTTTTAATAGTTAAAAATGTTGCAGTGTATGTGTGTTGTAAAGAGGGTCACAGAATGATTGACAGCTACTGATGTTTTTCTTCTTAATTGTCTTTAGTTTTGACAGATCTTTTAGATGCTATGCACAATATTAGAGAAAAATTTGAAATTAAATCCCACTGTCAGTGTACCACCAAGCAGAGCATACAAGCTGGCAAGCTCCCTGCAGTGAATGGTGTGTCTCAGGTGAGTCTAAAATGTGTGTATATATTGCATCTTGTTAAAGTGTTCTGATCCTGGTGGATTTTTGTATTTAAATAGTACAAGTTGTGTTTTAGTTTGCTTATGTGGGGGTTAAATGCTAGCCATGTCTTTGAAATACCTTATAGTGAAGCTATGTAGTTAAAAATAAATTCGTTCTTTACAGGTTTTGCAGAATGTCCTTAACCACAGTAATAAAATTTCTCTGTGTATGCCTGAGTCTCAAGAGCAGAATACTCCTCAAAAGTCTGAGACAAATGGTAATGCAAGTCCAAGGAGTGATGTGAGCACAGAGAGCAAGTTAACACCGCCTGAATCTCAGTCCCCACTGCATTGGCTGGCTGATCTTGCAGAGCAAAAAGCCAGAGAAGAAAAAAAAGGTATATGTTTGAAATTGTCATATCATGTCTATGATTTTGGGGGCACTACAGGTATGTTGCAGATGACACTAAGCTGGGAGCATCTGTTGGAAGCTGTTTCAATCTGTTGGAAGATAGGAGGGCTGTGCAGAGACCTGGAATGGTTGGATAGATGGGCAGAGTCCAGTAAGATGAAGTTTAACAAGTCCAAGTGCCGAGTCCTGCATTTTGGCCACAGTAACCCCCTGCAGTGTTATAGACTGGGGACGGTGTGGCTGGACAGTGCCCAGGCAGAAAGGAACTGGGGGTACTGGTTGACAGGTGGCTGAACGTGAACCAGCAGTGGCCAAAAAGCCAACAGCATCCTGGTCTGCATCAAGGATTGTTTGGCCAGCAGGAGTAGGGAGGTCATTCTTTCCCTCTGTCTGGCACTGGTGAGGCTGTACCTTGAGTTCTGGGTCCAGTTCTGGGCCCCTCAGTTTAGGAAAGACTTTGAGACGCTTGAGTGTGTCCAGAGAAGGGCAACAAGGCTGGTGAGGGGCTGGGAACACAAACCCTGTGAGGAATGGCTGAGGGAGCTGGGGTTGTTTAGCCTGGAGAAAAGGAGAGACTCAGAGGTGACCTTACCCCTCTCTATAACTTCCTGAAAGGTGGCTGTAGTCAGGTGGGGGTCGGTCTCTTTCTCCAGGCAGCAACTGACAGAATGAGAGGACACAGTCTCAAACTGCATCAAGGGAAATATAGGTTGGATGTTAGGAAAAAGGTTTTTATGGAAAGGGTCTATGAAGTACTGGAATTGTCCACCTGGGGAAGGTGGTGAAGTCACCATCCCTGGATGTGTTTAAAAAAAGATTGGATGTGGCAGTCAGTGACATGGTTTAGTTGAGGTTAGTCAGGGCATGGGTTGAACTTGTTCTTAAAGGTCTCTTCCAACCTAGTGATTCTGTGTGATTCTGTAATTGAATTAATAGTAAAAAACCCACCATTTTTTTCACAAAAAAGAAAAGACAATGTTCTTTTCTCTACTGATTCCAACCTTGGAACTACAGTGCCTTTCCCTGATGGCATCAGAATCCATCACCAGAAGATCCACTGGTGAAATGTATATGGAAGTATTTCTAGATACAGCATCTCTCACTTGAGACAGGTACTCAGTCAGCTGCATGTCTGAGATGCTGAGGAAGGTCTTTGCTTGGTCACACTGTTTCACTGTGTTCTGAAGGATGTAGTTCATCCTCTGGTGTGTTTCCAGGTGAATAAAGCACTAGTGCTACATAACCTGTTAACACCAGTAGGAAATGCAGGATATTGGTGCTGTTCCTATGTGTGCATCATGATACAACAGTGTAAACTTGCAATGATTATTTCTGTTTTAGAGAACAAAGAATGTCCTTCTGGAAAACATTCAAAGGAAGGGAAGGACCAGGATAATTTGGAGTCCCCAAACTGTAAAAGTTCCCCTCCTGCATCCCAGAACAATGAGCAGGGCTCAACCTTACGAGATCTGTTAACTACAACAGCAGGCAAACTGCGTCTGGGTTCTACAGATGCTGGCATTGCCTTTGCTCCAGTTTACTCTACAGGAACAGCAGTAAGTGTTTACAAGATGCACAGTTTTTCTCTTAAGATTGAAAATCTCTATCAATCTGTTCTAGCATGTTACAGTTAGAGCAGTCTTACAGGTGTATTGCTTTATATACTCATGCATAATTAAAACTTCATATGCACACACACAATGTTTTATTTGGTTTTGTATATGGTGATAATAGATACAACATCAGAAATGTTACTCTCTTTCAAAAGGAATTGCATTAAGTTGCTTTTATATTGTTTAAGCATATACTTGTTTTCTAACAGAGTGGCAAGAGTGGAAGGACTATGCCAAACATTCTTGATGACATAATTGCTTCAGTAGTAGAAAACAAGATTCCACCAAATAGAGCACCAAAGATAAATATAAAATCTGAAATAAAAGATGAGCCAAAGGATGATAAAAAACATATTCAGGATGACTGCGGTAAACAGTACAGTGATATCCAGTATTCGTGGATCTGTGATAAGCATGTTCTGTGGCTCAGAGATCATAAAAACAGCAACAACTGGAAGCTCTTCAAAGAATGCTGGAAACAAGGAAGGGTAGGTATTGAGCAGGTTGGTTGGCAAAGTGACATCAGAATGAGCTCTGGGGAGCTGTGTATTGAAGGACAGAAATGCCTAACTCCATGTTTGAAACTGGGGGCAAAGAAAGGTTGTTAGGTATAGCCCACAGACGAACCTTCTGTAGTTAAACTTGAGTTAACCAGTAATGATAAATAAGACACTTCTGTTGTGGAGTTTCAGATTCCAAAAAGAGGTGACACCTTTTGATATGAGTGCTGAAGGCTAAGGTCTTCCATGTGTGTTCCAGACACATTTGTATGCCAGTTCAGTTAAAGAATTTTTCCACCTGAGAAAGGATAAGTACTGATTTTAAAAAACTATTTTATTTTATTCTTTACAGCCTGTTTTGGTATCCGGTATGCATAAGAAAATGAATTTCAGCCTGTGGAAAGCGGAGTCAATCAGTCTGGATTTTGGAAACCAGCAAGCTGATATCTTGAATTGCAAGGACAGTATAATTTCAAACACCAATGTCAAGGAGTTCTGGGATGGTTTTGAAGATGTTTCAAGTAGGTTCCTTAAAATGTATTATGGTATTGATTCTGAACATGATCAGTGTTAGAAACTGCAGTTAAAAATTATCATTATGGATCTTGAAGCTTTGAAGAAACTTTAAAAAGAAACCTCTAGGTAATCTGTTTCCAGAGAATGTGGTGGAAAGTTGCATTTTTTATCTCTGCAGAATTAAGGATGTGCTATTATACTAGCCAGGTCTGACTAAGAAGCCAGACAAATGTCCTTCTTCCTTAACTATCTGAGTTTGGTTAGTATCATTCTTGAATCTTGAAATCAACTATCTCCTGTTTATGCATGAAATTTTGACTCTTGGCAAGTTTAATGTTTATATTTTCATTTAATAAAGTAAAATGCCCACAGTATATTAGTTTTTAGTTATTTCTATGTTACTTACAGAACGTCAGAAAGTAAAAAATGGAGAAACAGCTCTACTAAAACTGAAAGACTGGCCTTCTGGTGAAGATTTCAAGGCCATGATGCCAGCAAGGTATTTTGAGTTTAATATTATACGTTCTTAAGTCAATATTTTTCTATTTTCTCTCTCTACATAATGGCACAAATTCAATTATATTATTTTTTTTCTTTTGACCTCCAGATATGAGGACTTATTAAAAAGTTTACCCTTGCCTGAATATTGTAGTCCAGAAGGAAAACTAAACTTGGCTTCTCATCTGCCAGGATTTTTTGTCCGTCCAGATTTGGGACCCAGACTATGCAGTGCATATGGTGAGTTTGCCCTGCAAGTGCAGCAGTTACCTCTTCCTTTAAACTTGTAGAATATCACACATTACAATGCTTGATAGAAAGCTGAGCTTTCTTAAAGGGTAATTGTTCACTGATTGTAGGGGAAATACTGACTGACTTAGGTGTTTAACAGTATGTGCACCTGGGCCATGAGAGTCTCTTTGCTTCTCCATTTCTTTCCATCTTTTCTTACGCTGTTACAGTCTTCTGAAGCATATAAATGGTTAACTGCTTCTACACAGCGATAGATATGTGACAAAATACTTAATGAGATATTATTGTGTTTATAATTTTGGTCATAAATTAATCTCATCATATTTCTCATAATTTCTTTTCTGTGCTGTACGCTCAAAAACCTGTTTAGAAAAGGTTGATTCCCTCAGACACTTTGTCTGCTCCTTCTTTTGCAAAGAATTTTGTTCAATTCTGTTTTACAAATTATCATAATAGGACAAGAAATAAGCAGTAATTTGTGACACAGTGGCTTTGGTTTTAAAAGTTCTCCAGATATCCTGTGAAAGAAGCATATTAACAATAGTGGCAATGGCATGGGTCTGAGAACTGTGTCATTAATGCCACTCTGAGGTAATACTGCTCTAAGGCTTAGTGTTCCAGAATGTCCTTTTTGACTTAAGAATATTAATTTCCACTTCTTAAAACTAAAAATAATTTTCCTCTTTGGGCGTTATTTTGATTAAGAACTCTATTACAGCCAGACATAAAAGTGACAGATCTGATAACTTTGTGTATTTATCGTACTTGTATTCTGCCCTGAACAACCTGAAGCGCTGAAGAAGAATGGAACATACTGGTCAGGAAATGTGTCTGACTAGTCTGCTGAAACATTTTGTTCTAACTCAAATGCTGTGTAGGGACAAGTACCTGGGCTAAGGAAGAATCTCAAGGACTCTGTTAAAAAAGCAATGTTTCCTTGTTTAGCAGGTGAACCAAAAATGTGTTTTTAATTTGTCTATCTCAGTGATACCAAGTATACTTCAGAAATTTCTTCTCTGTTGTTGCATGTTCTGATTTGAATATGCAATACAAACAAATCTTAATTTTATCTTGTCACATAGGTGTGGCTGCTACTAAAGACCATGACATAGGAACCACAAATCTCCATATTGAAGTTTCTGATGTTGTTAACATCCTTGTTTATGTTGGCATAGCCAGAGGAAATGGAGTACTTTCCAAATCAGGTAACGTGAAGCTCACTCACTGTAAGAGGTGTAGATGGACTGAATGTTCTACCCTTCTAACACTGACATTGTTCTTTGGAAGGCAGTGAATAATATCCGTAAGAACTTGCTTACAGCTGGGAGGTTGGTTGTTTCAAGGGTTTGCACAAACATTAGTTCTATATAAAACACACTGCAGTGCATGAATTATGAAAAGATACTTCAGACTCTTTCCACTTTTTTTGCCATTACGTATGTTTGATGCACCATTCCTGTGCTGAGACTGGCACAGCTAATGGAAATGCAGGGTGAAGGATTTTCTCTGGAAGCTGTGCTGGTTCTAACAGTTATGTCAGGATGATGTATTAGCTAAACCTTCTATTTATGCTGCTTCTTCTGGATGCATTGAATTCGGGCTGTTGTAATGTAATTTTTCAGTACTGGAGAGGTTAGACCGGTGTATGTTAGTCATCTCTATGAAGGTTATAGCTTATGTGAAACAGTCTTTAAATCACTGAAATAGTTTTGTTTCTTTGCTCTTTTGATTTTGTCCTCTTATTCCATAATCAGCAAATGTAGATTTTGGGTGTGACTAATAGAGCTGCAGTAAGGCTTGTCTTTCATTTGCTTTGTTTTCACTTGTGTATACACTGAATTAATAGCAGCAAATTTGAGCATCCTGGGAGAGCTCTGGCTGCAACAACAGCATGCTAAGCACTGTTTGTGCTGACTTCAGGAAAACACCTTTTCATTTTTTGGTACCAGTCCTACTTGTTCATTTCAGGTAGGAGATTGTGTTATGTTGAATTCAGGAAATGTGAAAAAGTTTAAAAATTAAATGTATTTTTAAGGTATCCATTGCATTCATGTTCTAGTAACAAGTTACTGAACCAGAAGGATCACCTGGTGGCTTCTGTTGTATTCAGCAAACTTTAATCTGCTCAGTCTCACACAAGAAATCTGAAAAGAAGGTATTCAGTTTCAATGTTTTTTCTCCTTCTCACATTTAAAGAATATCTTTGTTGAACCTTAGGGGTTTTGAAGAAGTTGGAAGAAGAGGATTTGGATGACCTTTTAAGGAAGCGGTTGAAAGATTCAAGTGAACTACCTGGTGCTTTATGGCACATTTATGCTGGCAAAGATGCTGACAAGATCCGAGAGTTTCTGCAAAAGGTTAGATTTATTACACATAATTTATAAATATAACCTAAGTAATTGACAAATCCAAGGGGGCTGGCAAAAAGCACAAACTCCACCTCAATATTAGAGAAAGGAGGAAGGCAAAATTATTTCTTTGATAGTACATAAAATAGACTTGACCTGCTGCATCACCAAGAAATAAAATATGTAACATGTATATCCACTTTGTAAGAGTGACAGGTAGTCTGTAACTGAAGGCTCAGGAGGGCATGGAGATCTACTCTTGCCTTGCTCTAATACAAAAAATAATTTGTGGGATGATGTTTTTCTGTCACTGATCCATTATTGTATTATTGCTGCTGAACTTCTTGTGAATTTTTCCATGCCACATCCCCTGACCTCACCACCCAGTGGCCACCAATCTTTCCCAGGACTCTCTCACATCAGTCAGCGCAACAAATGTGGCTGTGCTCTTGGTGAAGGTGGAAGCAGTGGGATAACGTCCCCAAGGTGGCAAACTTTCCTGGCCATGTTGCAGAACATCCTTCAGTGGCATGTGATGAATAGGTTAGAGCCACATCAGAACCTTTCAGGTTATTACCTGGGATGAGTATCTGTCAATGCATGAAATGTAGGGATACCATCTTGGAAGCAGTTTTCTGTGCCTTGTCCTTAGCACATTCTTGTGTTCTGGAAGGTGGCCTTGGTAGATGACACAGAAATACCAAAGTATCACTAAAGTGATTGCTCAAGTGGGTGTCTTTACTGTCTTCTTCTGTGAGGAGAGATCAGATGAGTTTTAACTGGCTGCAGCAAAGGGGTCCATAAACAAACTTGAGGCCAAAGGCTCTGCTGTGAGCAGGGAAAGCCTAAGAAATTTAGCAGTGAATATTCCCTTGGACAATAAAGCAGTGTTTCTTTGTCCTCCAGTGACTCAAACATTTGCTCTTTGGCAGCCTGAACTATGGGGGAAAATGAGAACTGGTAAATAAAACAAAGCTAATTCAAGGAGATTATGAATTGTACAGCAGGACTTTTTTGTTCATTCAAAAAGTAGATGCTCATAAATTGGATGGTGGCTTTTCAGTTAAAAAAAGAGGGTTATGACTGAAGTCACAGATGCAAAAGAATAGATGGACATAGGGAGTGTTCAGCATTTCCTCTCTCAGAGCACTTGTGAAACTATTGTGAATAGCTGTCAAACTATTTGAGCAGCAGGTTTAAAACAGAAGCATTTAGGATGCCGTGTAGAGAAGTTTGTCATATGCTACCACAGTTTGCTCTGCTATCCCAAATGAGTTGTGTAGCCTTGTATTTTAGGAATGGTGGTATTTGGGAAATGCTGAATTGGAGATTGATGGGTAAGCATTGGGACTGCTTTGCTGCTGGCAAGATAAAATCTCAGTATCTTGTTAGAAGGGTGATAATATGCAAGGAGAGTTTCAAGCTCTGCATCACATAATTACATTTATTTAATAAATAAAAGCAAAAGAATTCTATGTTTTTAGTGGCATACTTGTTTCATGACTCATGACAGGTGCATTAGGTCTGTGTTCTTTATATGTAATTACTTTTTTCTTTTAGTGACTAGGATTGATTTAGTAGCAGTTGATTAAGAGTAGTATTTGTTCCCCTGTGGCTCACTTGATGAGAAATGCTTGTGCAATTCCATTTACCAGTCTCAGGAAGTATTTTTATGTGTTCATCAATTTTTCTGAATACCTTCATAGGATGGTAGGAAAGCAGCTTCTTATCCCAGCATGGTTGAAGTTGGAAGTGGCCCCTTGAGGTCTCTCTGTCCAGTCCTGTGCTCAAGCAAGAGTCACCAGTAGTTTCCCAGGACTACAACCCTTGGCTTTTTTGGTTGGTTTTTTTCCTGAGCTAAGGTTGTGTGTCTGTGTCAAAACTGAAGAAGTTAGTAAGCCTGAGAATTGGCAGTATAGGAACTCATGAGCTCAGATTTTATTTTCTAGATGAAAGAAGTCACACAGAGAGCATGTTGCTTATTAATTGATTATTGTGCCAAGTTATTTAAAGCTCTGCATTTTGGAGTGAGAGCGCTGCAGATGTCTTCAGTTCAGTGAGACTTCCCAGATCCTTCAGGGTCTGTCGCTAGCTGGAGTTCTTGTTTGGGTATTGGGAACTGAATGATGTTGATTGGCGAGGTTGGGTATACATAAAATTAATCAGCAAAAGGTTTGATTCTTTTGGAAGTTATTTGGCATCTTTTCTGTACTTAACAGATAGCAAAGGAGCAAGGCTTAGAAGTTTTACCGGAGCATGATCCAATCCGTGATCAGAGTTGGTATGTGAACAAGAAACTTCGCCAAAGACTTTTTGAAGAATATGGAGTAAAAACCTGCACAGTTATTCAGTTCCTTGGTGATGCTATTATTCTACCAGCAGGAGCACTTCATCAGGTAATGTACCTTAGGTTAAAGCCATACAGGGTTAAATAGCACATTTGCTGTAAAATAACTTTTTTCCAAATATATGGATACATCTGTTCTCAATTACATTTTATTTTTTTATTAGTATCTATTAGCATGTAGGAATGTAAAATAAGGAAATCTGCTGGTGTAGTGTGGAGGCTCTGGAGCCAAAGGCAGTGGTGGTGTGGAAGGAGGCCTCTAAGGTGTAAAGTTAAAGCATAAAAGGAAGGTTTTCCCCCATATGAAAGTAGAAGGAAAAAGCTTTTCCCATAATTCTTTGCACCACCAGTTCACTGTACCCCAGTTATATGTACCCAGTTGGCCTGTGGGCTGTCCCTCCCCTTTTTTACCTTCTGTGTCCATTCCTTAGAAAGTTCTCCCGTACCTGTTTCCCCATTGGCCCCAGTTTGCTGCAATCCTCTGCCCCTGTTATCCCATTGGCTCTCCCTCTCCATGACCCCGCTTATGCACTTTACCCTGTTCCTATTGGACTCTGACCCTCGGAGCCACCCCCTCAAACCCATATATATTCCTGGACCCTCCGCTATTCCCGGTCTTTGTTCCTGGACCCCTTCAGTGTGTGGCTGCAATAAACCCCACTGGAATTCCATACAGTGACCCTTCCTAGCTCTCTGCCATTGCTCTGCTCTGCTATCCATGGCATGCTTATGAGTGTGTGTATGGTGGGAGTGTGATTGTAGCCTGCCCAGACGCCTCCCTCTCTGGATGTGCTTTTGGGAAGGTATCATCACCTGACCATCTCCACCCAAGGCTACAGTGTAGCTGACTAACACATAGCAAATTGAATGCCTTAAGTATTATTTCCTTCTTTGCTTTACAATTACAAATGAAAAAAACATTATTAACCATTGTTTTCCACTTTCCATTTCTGTAGCAAATCTCTAAACAGAGTCTAGTTATGGCAGAGTCAGGTTAATATTTTTTTTATTCTAAGCCAGAAGTTAACCTAATCAAGGAGGGGCAGCAAGAGCAGCTTGAGCAGGTAAAAACATGTGGACGTCAGGTGTCACTGTTTTTGTCTTTAGCCATAGAAGAATTATAGTGGATGTTCTGGTGTTTCTGTAAGAGATATTTCGTTGTTTTCCCATGCCACGTTTAAGTTCATTTTTTAATACAGAAGGTATATCAATCACTAGGAGTCATCATTGTCTTTCCAGCAGCTTTTCTTACTATGAGAAGGAGTGATACCACCTTTGCAGGAGCTGAGCTGATCTAATCTATTCCCTAGCTGGGTGAGAAAAGTATCATCAGTGGGGCAGTTCTCGAGAAACAGGATGAATTTGTATAGTCAGCTTAAGTTGCCCCCTGGCACAAAGGGTTTATTACTGCCTTTAGGCCTTTTTTTTCCTCAGAGTCTGTAAACTGGTGCACCTTGGTGAAAAGAGGAAGAAAGCTCAGTTGTTTAGGTGAGGTTCTTTGGGCCATTACAGATTTCTTTCTTTCCTGCTTCAGTAGGAAATGGCTGTCTTGCCAGCTGTCAAGCACCGCTAATGGGGTCGCTGACTGTCAAGGAATGAGGAGCAACCCCACCCTGCAGTTGTGTTGAAGATCAATCATTGATCTCCCTATGGGTTCAAGTGAGGCCAAGCCTTTCTGAAGAAGGTGCTGTTTAGTTTCCAATCTGCAGATCAGCTTCCAGCTGTGGCACAGGGGAAGCAATGGATCACCATGTTGCTGTGGCCAGGACAGTGGGGTTTTCTCTGAAAAATTGACCGGGGTGCAGTGATAATAAGTTCTGTCCGTCCATGCTCTGTCTGTTGGTGAGGCAGTAGAAGCAACTGGTACCTTATCCGGACTAGGCTTCTCCTCATCCCACTGTGTTTCTGGGTGGGTTTGATGTGGCGGTACATAGCTCTGCATGGTCTATGTGCGTTTGTTTTCTGGCACAGGAAAGGAAAAAACCCAGACAGCCCCAAATAGACCTTGGTGACCCGAATCTAGGGGAGTGTAGGTTGCCTTCCCACATACAATGACTCGGGACTTGGTGTTGTTTCACAAACGTGGAGGAACATCTGACATTGCTGCTGTTCTTGACTCTTGTTAGTCTAAAGAGGTTAGTACTCCTAGAGTCATGTATTGCATCCTCCAGCAGCCTTACTCCGATGTCATGAAACAAGAGAAATATATCCCAGATAGAAGAGTGGAAAGGGAAACCAGGGGAAATAACAAATCTACTCAGAAATCTGTTCTGTATAACATGTGCCGTTATATAAAGGCATACAGAATATAAAACATGAAGTAGTAGGACTGTTCCAGGCTTCGCTGTATTTCATATGATTAAGGACCAAAAATAAGACCACTCTTATCTTTATCTCCTTGGCTTTAAACTGCAGATGGTGTTTGAAGTGGTAATGTTCTAGCTTCTGCCACTAAGGAGTTAATAACATGGTGTTTTTAAACCTTCGTGGGTGAAGCTGAGAACCTTTTCATCTTCAGTTAGAAGTTCCTGTGAATCTGCCACGTAGGAGGAAATAAAAGCAGCATGTTCTTTCATGTGTGTGCATAGTGCTCTGTCTGTACAGAGGCATAAATACTGACCTTAACGATCACCACCACCTTTGTATCACTTCAGAGATACAAAGCACATTTAAAAACTGAAAAATAAGTCTGCACAAGAATACATATCATGTTAAGTTTACACATTAAGTGTTTCAGATTTACATGCACATGTTGAACCTTTTAATTATTGAATCTGGGTGAGAGTTGATGCTAAATTAGGTGGGAAATTAACATTTTTATTTGCTCATGAGTAATGTTGTGGAGCAGAAGAAATCAGACTGAAGGCTGGAGCTAGGGAGCCTGGCTGCCTGTGGTTGCTGTGTAAGTGTAGTTCTGATACTTCCATTCTGGAGCCAGTTACGATTGTTGGCACACTGCTGCTTTTGACATGCTCATCTAGAATTTACTGCCCTAATCTGGAGGAAGTTGTGTGTATTTCTTCTGTATATTGTTTTTCCATCTTCCCCAGTTTGGTAGTTTCATGTCTTGCTTTTAAAGTAATTTCTTAGCATTTCGTGGCAGCATATAGCATTCCTTTTGCTTCCCAGCTTTCTCCCCCTCTATGTGTACTTCTTGTGATGACTGCAGCAGGCAAAGTCAGACTCTTCCTGGGTGGGATGGGAGGGACAGGCTGTCCTGTGAGCTGTAAGGGGCAGGGCAGCCTTGTCAGTTCCTCTTGTAGAGGGAATTGTTCTCTCAGGAGGAGAATCCAGAAATAGGTACAGGTTTGGACCAGTCACCTCTGCAGATGCTTCCCTGAATGCTCTGTGAGGGGTATCTCCTTTCTTCTTGGCTGTACAGGTTGGGAGCTCAGCCATGTTCCTATCTTGCTAATGGCTGGGCCTTGTTCCCTCTGTGGCACCTGTGACAGGGAGCCCCTGAGCTCTCCTTGGAACTTCCTCAGCTAAAAAAGGGTCTTGGTACTGTTCTTTTGAAAGATTACTCTTTCTACTGCTCCACTGTGGGTTATGCTGTCTCACAGACATCTCTAGGGATGGCCTCCCTGGTTTTAACTTGGTTGCTCCAAATTGGTAAAATATTTTAACTAAAAATTAAAAGCTAGAAATACTGGAGTCAGTGATTGAAATGTGGTGTTCAGGCACCCTGTAAAACTTGTTCATAGTGGAACAAGTTATTATAATGTTGTTTTTTATAGGGGCATTATCTTGATTTAACAGCAGAATTATATATTGTAAAATAACATACTTGGAGGTAATGACATCCTGGCAGTGTTCCATTAAGGATTGTAGGATAAAGGTTTGGGCTTTGCATATGCAGAGCTCTCTCAGAGCTCAGCCTTGCAGGAAGTGGCTGATCCTGCGGCCATCAGGATGGGTGGGTGGCCCTTTCTTCCCTGCCCACTTACCTTTCCCTGTCGCAGCCCAAGTCTGAGGCTTTTCCAGCACTGCAGCTGCCTCCTGGGCCCTGCTGGAAAAAGTCTTCTCTGTGTGGGCTCAGTGTGAAGCTGTTCTCAGTTCAGCTGGAAGTGGCACAGTCGTGGGAGTGCTGCACTCCTCGCCCCACAAACCCTAGGGGAATTGTTGCTAAACGTTTTTATGTGTGTGTCACTGCATCAGCTTGTGATATAAATATTATAAATAGAACTGCTTGGAGGCTGTCAGCAGGGCATTCCCATGCTAAGTACCAGGCCAGCCAGGTAAAAACTGTCCCTGCAAACTTTCACGCAGATAAGACACTGAAAGGGAGGGAAAAGAAGGTTTAAGGCACAGCAGAATTAAAGGTCTGAGGGAAACAAATGTTTCCTCTTCTGCCATGGAGGGATATCGAGTCAGTAAAATATTTTCTTAGTGAGGAGAAAGTGAATGAGTGGTGTGAGATTTTCATAGTCTGGCAAGGAAAACAGTGGCAGGTAGAGGCTTGACAGAGGTGGTAAGCCTGTGAAGGAGGGGAGGGGGGTGGAGCTGCCAGCTGCACAATGCAGAAGAGCCTCACCTCAAGCTCTAGGAAATTCCCCGGTGGAAACCTTACCGTGGCCTCACCCCTGGATTTCTGCAAATTGTGTGGCATCAACAAAACCTCTTGTCCAGAATTACTTCTGTTTTGATTAATTCTCAGGAGGGACCAGCACTGCTTTCTTCTTGATGATGAGCCATCAAAAGCCCTGTGTGCTACA